TGGGGGAGCTCCAGTCTATCTCAGCAAGGTTGTGCCTAAATGAAATAGCTCAGGTATCTCTGTGCTACACTGCGTTGTACAGTGTAGAAATGACAAGAGAGAAGGGACTTTAAAAGGACACAATTCAGTTATTCATGCTTTGTTTGTTCTCAGAGCAGAGGCCACCTGTAGGTGCTGAAACTGGAAGAACAACATGACTAAAAATATCCTGGTAAAAAATATCAAAACCAATACTCATAGAGTTGTATCCAGTCCATTTTTCAGGCAGTCTGCTTTCCAAAGAAGATTTCAGTAATCATAAAAAAAAATCAGCGAAGATGAGCCAACAAATATCTAAGAATTTCATTGCTTTAGGTCTTCTGCTGAAACACTTGAGTTTCAGAACACAGTATTTCAGAATTCAACTAAGCTATCCCAGCCAAGTATGATTTACTGCAAAATCAATATTTTCCACTCAAAGTATGGAATAAAGCAAGGGGGAAAAAAAAGGACTTTCATTAAAATCTTTTCCTAGAGGAAAAAAAGTGCATTTCTGGGGCATATTGAGCCTTTGTTTTGAAAGTAGGTTTCTCGGGCGCAGAGGTAAGTTGTATGGAGCAAATGCTATGAAGTACTGTTACTCTGCACCAGCACAGACTGGAGGATTTGCCGACTATGAGCTGCAAAACTCTAGTTTGCAAAGAAAGAATCATCAGTAACATTTGAGGTTTTAAGAATCAGTACATTTCCAGTCTTGTGGTCCTTTGTAGATCCAGAGTAAAATTCAGAGGTTGGTTGTTCCAAGCAGAGTCATACCTGAGCTAGTTTTGAGGCTGGTTACAGTAAGCAATGCAGCTTTAGTGGTGTGGCCTTTGGCCACAAGTACTGAGGAGCTGAAAAAAAGCTTATACGGCTTAAGCTGCAGACAGTTCTGTGGCAGGTAGTTTGGTAAGCTTGGGTAGGTTTGTATGGGTCAAAGTCCTACATCTCAAGACCAAAATACAAAATTATGATTCTGCCAAGCCCCTAAAAAGCAACCTGTTGTAGTTAAGCTCCAGAAGCAATGATTTAATCTCCATGAGCCTAGAATTTTAGTTCTCCTGAAAGTTCAAAATATCCTTTGGACTCCAAATCTGTAGAGAAGAGTTTAATTTTCAAGAGTGTAGCATCTGTGGCTGGGGCCAGGTTTCAAAAGCTGCCCACACCAGAGAATCCTTACTAGGTCTTAAGAGTCTGATTTTCAAACAAATGCCTAATTGAGTGCAAACCTTCAGTGGAGCCAGACTTTTTTAAAACCTGGCCTGTTGGTGAAAATGCTCAATTTTGAAAATCTGTCTGTAAAGGCATTGCAGTACATTGACAGAGTTGCAGCAACATTTGACATTGTGAGCCAACAATCATTTGTGTTGCTGCAAAATAGACGCACGGCAGCTTTGTGACTTTGGCATGTTCTAGTTGTTTCTGAGTCAATTTTGCTTTGAATGTGAGTTTAAAGCTTCACCAGCACGAACGATTCTTCCATGAGTAGCAATCGTAGAAGTAGTTGTCTTGGAGCTCGGGAATACACATCATGAGGTTGTGATCTGTTTTCCCCTTTTCTGTCTGCTTCACTCGATAGACCATGCTGTCTCCCACTGAAACATGAAAAGTGAATAATACCTGTCCCTCAATATCAACTATTAACCACTACATTAGTATGAATGTGAAATAATCAGGAACATGAGTAATTAGAATGGTATCCTTTTATCTTAAATAGGCAGAGTGTTTAGAGTACTGTGAGATACTACCAAACCACAGACTTTTTTTCTTATTACTAAAGTTAACAAGCAGTAGAGAAGTATGAAACTGTTTTACTAATGTTGTGCTTATAATTTTGTGCAGTGTGTCTACAGCATGGTGTTCCTGGCAGAAGTTTTCAGAGGTTTCTCTTGTAAATCATGCCATGCTCACTGAGGCCTGTTTATTATCTCATTTTATCAGTGCAAGTTCTGAATAACTCCTGTGGGTTAGATACTGATGTACCAGAGTGACTCGAGATTAACAACTGAGTTCTGATTTAATCGCAGCTGGTGTAACTGAAGAGGGAAAAAATGGACAACTATCATCTGATTTATACCGACATAAGGCAAGAGTAGCTTCGGCAAAGTCTGTGCCTGTTTGAACTTTTAAATCCCAAATTCTGTTCCCATTTTCACTAAGGTAAAGTTGTTTGTTTAAAGGTATACTTAAAATCAAATATACACTATGTGCTTAAATGTGTCCATGTCATGGGAAAGGACATCAATATTACAACAAATCAAACCATTTGAGATTATCCTGTGCTAGGCTTTGTTGTTGTTGTTGTAAAAAATAGATTTTCACTTCAGGATATAGAAAAGAAGTCTCTAGCCTGGAGAAGATATACTAAGTCACTATATGCAATGAGGGACTTCTAAATTACATTGATTCTTCCTATTTAATGTAAATATATGTAGATTTATGCTTGGCTTCTGATTCTTGTTCTTGACTAAGAATACCCCTCCCAGCTCCTTTTTTCAAAGGAGATTTCAAGCGTAGAAATATTATCAGTGGTTGCACATGTGAATTTGTGATATAATAGGGGGAAATAAACAGAAATGCAAAGATTTAAGAAAAACTTTGCAACTTATGCAAAGTGAAGTCATACTGAGTAGTAGTAAAATTTAGATTCATATATTGAAAATGAATAAATTGAAAAGAAAAAATACAGGTATTCCTTATATTAAAATGATAGAACTTTGTATGTAATTCTATTCACCCTCTGTTCTCATTCAAAGAAAAGATGACACCACAACTGTGGTTCAGTTCTACAACCTTTATAACCCACTCACTGGAAATTTATTTAATACCCAAAGTCAACCAGTATTTTAGGATGTAAGAACAGTCATACTGAGTCATCTCAAACTTCTACCTGGCTTGATCTTTTTTCTATGACAATAGCCTCTAACAGGACAGTCAGGAGGGGGGCATAAGAAACAGGGTGTCTATGAAATAATTATTTTCTTTTTATAGCAATCTGCAATTGCATCCTGTTCATCTTGTTTAATAGCCCTCGGTCGTCCTGTGTGCCATAAATTTGTGTAATCTTTTTTTGATCCCACTTCTACTTTTGGTGGCTACAGTATCCTGTGGCAACAAATTCCAGATTTTAATTATATGACGTATAAAGATGTTTCCCTTTTGTTACTGTGAAATACTGAGAACACCAGTGTGTGTTCTTTGTTCTTGAGAAATAATGAGTGATCATTTCTTTGTACAGAAATAGTTTTTTATATCTATGACTCTTCTGGGTTGCCCTTCACAGCTCTGGGAAAAAGAATGAAGTAATTTGAGAGGGGAGGTCCTGACTTTTGATCACAGAAAAGTGAGATTTACCAGCTGTTTTATGAGGCAGTATGTTTTGTTTTTAAAAAGCGTATATCATCTTGTAGATCTGCAGTGAATCAGTTCCTGCTAGATGTAAGTTTTTGCTGGAGAGCTTTGTACAACCTGCTGAAAAATATAATTAATCAGAGTTTGCTCTGATACGCTGCTCAGCGTGGAGGTAAGAGGAAGAAGGGGAGATAGGTCTGAACCAAACCTCTAAAGCCTGAGCCCCAATGTGGCCTTCTATTAGTGGAAGAAAGGCAATTTTATCAGAAATGAGGATCTTGTGACCAGACAGAGTATATATAGGAAAACCTCAATCAAATGCACCCTCATTTTCACAGAGGCATAAATGCTTTAAGTGTATGCATTAAACTGAGACATTGCACAATCAGTTCTTCACAACCAGAAGCATCCCTTGCGGAGATCCAAAAGATCCCATACAGGCTGAAGGGATAATTGAGATATTTAACCGTGGAGTCAAATCTTTGCCAAGTTCATCAACTTTTCTGTCCTTGGACAGCAGCATAACTACTTAGATATAGTGTAGAGGTAGTAAGGATATAGTTTTTAATGCATGTTTTTGTGTATGTAACAGTGCAGTGGTTATAGGAAAAACGTGGCTTTCCTATCTGTCTGAGCAGACAGACAGAGAGTGGAAAAGTTCAAAGGCTGCTCTCTCCAGATAGGCATGGCTTCAGAAAGATGCTGTATGTGAACGGAGCTAACAGCAGTAGTGCAAATAAGAGGTGGAAATTGAAGGGCTATCATTATTTTACAACATTTTTTGTGCTTTTTCTTCCAGTCGGGATGCAGATAAAACAGCATGTGGCTGATGTTCTGGCAAGACTTACATGTAGCAGAATCTCACTAGTAATTGTCTTCCATATTTATAGCAGCAGAAACAATAGGTACCAAGATATCTTCGGAAATGTTGGTTGCAAAATGCACTCGACCAAAATGCTTCTACCGTATTTACTAATATTAATGTTTCCACTTGTCCTCATGGGTTCAAGTAGTGTGACATCTGGTGCACTTGAATTGCTAGAGTCTGCACTCATGGAGAGCCTCCCAAGATGAATGTCACATGGGTATATGTGAGACTTTGTGGCTGCAGATATAAATAACAGGTAGAGTTTAGGCTCTGTGGCCTCAAACAATGCTTTTGCTAGCTAAAATTTCATCCCTTGCCCTTAAAAGGCCAGATCCTGCCTCCGATTAGTACTTCCTCTGCCTCCCACTTCTCCTACCACCTGCCCCAGACCTTCCCCGCCCCCCTCCCCCCCCCAGCAAGTGCTACTGTGCCCTCTGTCCAGCCTGACTCCTGCCTCTTCCCTAGCCTCAACACTCCCTTTGCATGATTTCACATCCCATCTGCTTCAATCCTGGCACCCCTGATTTGGGGTCCTAAGAAAACTCCCACATTGACACAGTGAGTTAAAGTGTGAGGGGTTAAACTAATGTGAAAAGCGTTAAACAAATGAGCTGGAATGAGTATGCTGGAAGGAAGAGTTCAGGTTGGTTGTGACTTTTTCTGTCCTGTCTCACGCTTACTCTGGGTCCCTTTCATTTCAATGTTTCACAGCTATGTTGGACCATGAGTGTTGGTTACAGTAACCTTAAACTTCCTCTTATAGGATCACCTTATGACAGGCATCGGAGCAAGAGAAGGACAAGGAGAAAACAAACTACATTCCCTAATGCGAGTGATGAGTTTACGCAGTGAAAGAGCCACCTGTTGATCTTTGACTCATTCAACAAAGAAGTCACGTCAAATACTAACCTGAAAAATTCCTGGTAAGTGATTAAACCCCGAAACAATAGCATATTTCTGCATCTTGATGCTGTCAGAAACCACAGGCATCCTCAGTGATGTTCTCCCTTTGATGCTTTGAGATCAGAAGTAATTTTGATCGAAAACTGGAGGAATTACCCCAAACATATTAATGCTAAAGGAGATTCTTTTGTTTTGGTTGTTAGTTACCCTCAGAACCTTTGCACACTGCTTAAGATCTCAAAGAGTTATGGCTAAATTAAAATAAATACTTTGCAGATGTATTTAATTACAAAATCACACTAATTTGCACAGAGATTGCTTTCATGGTACTTGTCCCGATTTAAACTGGTCATACTGAGCAAATTCTGATAGCAGAGATGTGGTTTTGTCTATTTTGCAAGTCTGCACTGTGCAAAGATCACCACCTCCCAATACTAAAGGTCTCCAAATCTATGCCTGCAAGCAACAAAATAGTTAATCAAATAGCATCTATAGAAGGCAAGCATTTTTAGGCTAGGAAAGGCTTTGTGCATTACTTGATTTTTCAAAATCCACTAGTGATTTTTAATGCCTCCTTTGTTGGGTACTAGGTAGATACCTTAAAAAGTGATACGATTTTCATAAAGCACTATGCAAGAAAGTGAAGAGAGCACGCTGCTTTCAAAATTTTGTCTTTTGCATGATTTCTGAAGCTAGATTCCTAAGAAATGGCTAATCACTCCTGGAAAACCAGACTATTCAAATGTGGTCTTTTACACGAAAATTGGAAAGGGAAAAACACCAGAAATTTTCCCCAAAAAATTTCAGAAACAAATTCTAAGCAGACAATGTTTACGAATTATGTTTTCCATAGATATGTGAGCTCTTTTCACTAGTGTTGGTGTGAATACTTGTGAAAAACAGGTGGAGTGCCCAAACACTGCTATTTATCATTTCTCTCTCTAAAGGTCCTTTATTGAACTTGTCCTCTTCTGTGTGCAGGGGGATGTACAGTACCTGCCTAAAGAGATATCAGGCTTTGAGGAATGAATGGTTTTGAATTAGGTATTGTCATTTCCTTGTAGCTGGTTTTCTGTCAGCAAGAAAAGAGCAAATCATGTGACTCATAATTAATTGATTTAGCAAGAATGTGAGCTGATCAGTCATGCTGATCATTAGCTGTATTGATTTTCAGAAAGGCTGTCCAGACTTTCTAAAGTAATTGGACTTCTTGCTTCACCTGAGACTCTGAATATGGCCATGTAATTTGATTACTAACTAGGTCTTTGTTTGAAAGTCAAAAATGCCAAAATTGAATGTTTCTGGCTAAAAACTGAAAAAGGCTAGGCTTTTGAGTGTTGTGTTGGTTTTTTTTTTTCCCTTGAGTTTTGGCAATTTTCAAATAGAAAATTTTTTTCTTGGGAGAAGGGGCACATTCTCAGCTGAAAATGTCAGCCAGCCCTCCTTCCTGCAGCGCTCTGACCAGCTCTACCAGGAACCTTGCTGATGTTCTGCCCATGACTCAGAAAAGCACTTTGCAATTCTATAAACAGGTACTATTATTATTCTAGCTACTTGACGTGGCAGAGCACTGCCATGCATGTATTGCAGGGCTAGTGAAGTGTATTGTAACCCGCAAGGAAGCGTGGAGGGCTCTTTGACAATTATTTGTGCATTGGTCTTGTGGGTCACGTGGGTAACAGTGGGTAATAGTCACGTAGTCATGAGGCTACAATGAAGGGCCTTGTGTAAGGGCTGTGGGGATGGAAATGTGGCAAATACCCAAGCTTCAGTGCATTAATTACCAAACAAAGTGAAACAATCATGCTGCTCTTTGCCATTTTGGGCTAGTCCTGTAGACGTAACAGCTCATCAGGCTCAGCCCCGGCTGCTCCCTCTGACCTGGCTTTCTGCTAGAAGGGACCTAGGTCCTGAACAGTATCTAAATGGAATATTTCTGAGTTGGATCCTTCCTCTACTCCTTCCATACCCATACTGGAGGGCTGTCGTAACAAACTGTCTCCCCTTGACTCTGCGAAGTAGTTTCCCAAATCTTAAGTTATTGACTCACAAGATGTGACTTACCTCACCTCAGGTGCCTGCAAGGTATGTGTCTAAATCTGAATTAGTCCCTGTGGGCTCTCAGAATTAGGCCTTCTGGACAGTAGTCCAGAGATTTCAGTTGACCAAATGTAAGCCCATACTTCAGGTTGAGAAATATTCCATACTAAATTCCCTTAGCAGGTCTCAGTGGGGTTTAGAGGGAGTCTGAGGTGACCAGATGAAGTGCTTACTTTATAGACATTGATGCTTAATCAGAGCAGTCCCTCTCAGACTGCCTGAAGGCAGGAGGCCTTATTTGGTTTTCCTGGAAGATGCCAATGCTACAAGAAACTCATAGCTTAGGTAGGGATGTCTGCCATGATAATTGCTTGCAGTAGTCCTGTGATTTCTATATTAATTTAATTCACAGCTTGTATATTTACAGTATCATTTGTCTTTCATGCTATCTTTACCATGGTCATTATCTTCACATGGTTAGTTCTTTTCTAGCTGTGCTGGTACTTACTGCCACACTGATGCCATGCATATACAGGAAAGTACTTTGCACACTTCTGGATGGCACTTTCATAGAGCTCATCCACATCTGCTCACAGACCTATCAAAACCAGCTTACCAGACTGAGACCTGGAGTTTTGAGGGAAAATGAGACTGAGCAGGGATGCAGTAGGTCTTTGTTCCTGCTTCAGCTGCTAAGGCATGTGACTTTGAGGTAAATCAGTTCTCCTCCCTGTGCCTGCCTTATCTGTAATATAGGGGCAATGAGGCTTATTTCCTTTGTAAGGCAGTTTGAGATCAGTGGGAGATAAGTAGTATGCAAGATCAATTTTTGTTTTCCTGATTGAATTCATTTAGGCAAAATGTTTATTTGTTTATTGATCCAGTAAAAATATCCTTTCTTTCCCTGCTCAATCATACGTATTTTTGGGGCACCCCATGATTCACTTTGCAGACACTGGTGAGATGGAAGTGCATTGATATGCTGACAGTATATTTTGAAGTAATGGCTTCAAAACAATAGAAATAACTGAGGGAAACCATCCTCAGATTACTTGCTTGTATAGTACTCGTCTTAGTGTTCCTGGGTGTGAATGCAACACAGATAAAACAATGCCATGGCTATATTAATGTATTCATTGTTATTAATTAATAAGACCTTTAGTGGTAACGGTTTTATATTTTAGTTCTGCCATCCGAGGTTCCCACTGGCAGAACGCAAGGTGCATTGGCGACCATGGAAAACTTTATGGCACCACTGAGCACTGTCAGCGAGCTTGGGCTTCAGCACAGCAAGGCTAAGTTCCTCCACAACAAGGTGAGTGGGCCCTCCCGGCGCAAGCGGGAGTTCATGCCGGATGAGAAGAAGGACAACATGTACTGGGAAAAGAGGCGCAAGAACAATGAGGCAGCCAAGCGCTCACGGGAGAAGAGGCGTCTTAATGACTTCGCCATGGAGACCCAGCTGGCTGCTCTCAGTGAGGAGAATGCCATCCTCAGGACAGAGCTGCTGTCCCTGAAACTGCGTTTTGGGCTCATCAGCCCGGACACCAGCACCCATCAGGGCTGCTCTGTCCAGGACTTGCTGGGAATTTATTTCAGAGGACACAAAGTGCCCCCCTCGTTTCCCGAGGCAGAGTCCTTTGCTAGGGATTCCTGCTTCTTCAGGACAAACAGCTTTGTGCCGAAGGTGCTGGAGCCAGCTGACTTTTCATGCAAAAGCTTTGGCCCTTCCAAAAATATCCTCAGCCATGACTCACAGCAGGCTCCCATGGGCACCCAGGGTGACCTTAGCCTTCACCAGTCGAAAAGGCTTGATTCAGCATTCAGAGCCACAGCTTGCTCTCCTTTCCTCAATTACCACTGCCCAGACAAATATGCCTACCATTTCTCCTTGTCAGACAGCGCCTGCTTCTTGTCCCCTTTCCCCAGCCTAACTGAGGTGAGCAAAGGAAGCACTAGAACGGTCTCGGATGAAGACGATGAGCAGCAAGTGCCCAAAATTTCTCCCCTACCCCTACACAGCCTGTCCTGCTCTTCAGAAGACCACCCAAAGGGCCGAAGCTATTCTGCTCTGCCTCACAAACTCCGGATTAAGACCAAAACCCTAAGCAGCTGGGAGGAGGGCGGCTTGGACTCCCACTGACATGGCAGAAGACTGGCCCGCTCTGGGAGGCCAACGCTAGACCTTCCAAAGACATGAGGGGTTTGGAAGGAGGGAATGAAAGGGAAATATCTTAGGCTTCAAAGTGGGAAGTAATTTTCTCTGTTTTGTGTAAATGATTGATAGGAGGTTTATAGGACTGGGCTGCATCACTACAGCATGATTGCATTTGATGCCCTGCATTATCTGTGATGCTCCATTTGTCATAGGAGACCTGCCAGATCCCTTGGTCACTGTGTCAGTAAGTCTCAGTTTCACCCTGCTCACACACCAAACTAAAGTGTAAAAGGACCAAAGGCAGGAAGAGGCTAAGACAGTGGTGCTGGTAGCCATAGCATGTAATACAGTAGTGGCTCCACCCCTCAACTACAGGTGCTTGGTGTGGCAACCATTTTAATTCCCTTTCTTTTGTTTCTTTTTTTTTTTTTCACTTTCATCCTCTTAAATGGGGTTTGTTTTACAGTTGAAACTATTGATGGAAACAGCTTCAAAGACCTTCTCACCCCAGCTGTCAGGAGCAAGAAAAGGTAGAGTGATAAAAAGGCAGTAGATTTACACTGGCATAATATATAAGGCATTTTTCAGAAATGATATTTCCATATTTGGAAATTGCCTTTATAAAACATTCTCTCACCTTTAGCTGAGTTGGCCAGAACATTTCCTTATTTTGCAATGAATTATTTCTAAAATTTAAAAAAAGATGATTTTTAACAGAATTGTCAATAAACTTAATAGAAAGCATTTCAACATTTTAGATTTTTTAAAAATGACTTTTAAAATTATTTAGCCAGCTTAAAATACAAGTGAGCATCTTAGTTAACATATGGCTGCATACATTAATCAGAGTAAAATGTGACTGGCAGTATTGGACTCACAGTTGGATGTACTCATTGACTATCTGTATTTATGACACTGTCCAAGTCTAAGAGGCTAAACTGGAGAGCTGGCCCTGAAAGTTTCTCTTGAGTTTCAGTGCCTGGCATATTTGCAGCACTCAGAAATAATAGAGGAAGATAATACTAATGACTGGCTTTTGCATCCGTGCTGACACAGAGTGTGTAGCATCACTGAACGAGCCGCAGATACGGAGCAAAATGGACTGGACTTTCCAAAAAACAGGAAAGGCTACATCGCTGCTTCAGAGATCTTTGGGACATGGAGGAACTGGTCTGCATCCCTATATGAAGGAGCTAGGAGACTGAGAAAGTGTCAGGTACCCAGGGCACGAGGGGTGTCCCTTTAAGGGGAAATATCAGAGAGGGCTTGCATGTGAGCAACACCTGGAGACAGTGGTTCAGAGTCATCTTTGTTTATATCTTATACTGTTGTGCCCAAACAGAGAAGTTTCCTGATGCACCTCCTGTCCCAAGGACAGAGCTGCTTGCTTTAATTATTACTTAACAATTCACTCAGTGCTGTGCTGTCTGTGAATGGTCTCTAACATCTGCATCTCTTGGACTGAAGTTCCTGCTGGAGGAGGATGGCTCTCCAGCCTGGGGCACTGCTTAGCAATCGCAGCCAGCCTTTAGAAGCGCACACAGCAAGGATAACGCTTCCATCTCGCTCACCGCCCTCAGGCTTCACATGTGTCATCTGGGTTGTGGGAATTGCTCCCTCACCAACAAATTATACAGTGAGATGCATTAGGAAGCATCTGCAAACTAGTTGCCCCTAGTCCTTTTTGGAAGCCTGCTCTCAGGCTTGGGCAAAGTGGTGTTCTGCTCCTGTGTGGTGCTTCCTGCGGGACATTCTGCCCCTTCGCCAGGCATTCAAGGAGTGTCCATGCTGAGATATTTCTAGCACTGTGTCAGCGTTAGATTTAACTATTCCAGGTCACAGAGGTGTCAGTTCGGCCTCTCCGGAAACTGCTCTGTTCCAGATCGCCAGAGTTTTGTTTGTTTATTAGCTAACACCTTCTGGCTCAGCCCCTAAAGGCTTTTAAAGCATTTTGCTCCCTTTTTTACCTGTGTACATACTGCAAATAGCATATGTATTCCTCAGGGAAGCACAGCCACTTTGCTTGTCCTTCCTGCCTTCCTACTGCTTAGCCTTTGGGAAAGTCTGCACTGCAGCAGTGGCAGTGAGTATGGAGTAAGTTAGATATAGCTGAAGTATTTTAACCCAGCCAACCTGAGACCGCCGGCGATGTAGCACAGAGCTCAGTGCAGGACAGCCTGGCATCTTGAGCAGGTTCTGCTGCTATAGCTTTGTTAAGCTTAAAACTAGCTTAGCGTCAATGAGCAGAAGCTTCTTTAAGGACGTTAAGACCTCCTTTACTCCGTTCCTCAGCCTCCACATTTTATGAGCCACACGGGGTCTGCTGTCTGCACTCGGATGTGGACTCGCTTCATGGACTTAGGATCTAGGTCTGGATTTTGAGCGCACAAATTGCTGTCGAATGCGTAGCTCCAGGGTACAGGTGGTGCTGTGTGGAAGCAGGGGGAGAAAGTGAAAACTAGGAAAGTGTAAAATTCATGTTTAGATGTCCAGTACTGACCACTGGGCTTGCGTGCTCCCCTCAGTTTCTTGATCTTGCTTTCTCCCAGTACACGCTTAAAGGACACTCTGCTGTACCTTAGTGCTGAATTCTGCAGGATGTGCCACGTCTACAAGGCAGATGAGCTTGGTGATTCATTTGCTTTACGAAGCAGAAGCCAAAGAGAGTCCTCAGGGATGTGTTCCAGGTATATCTGTAACTTCTTGTCCTCAGTTTTCTTTTTCTACCTCTTCCACATTTTGTCTTGTTTCCTAAGGAAATGAGGCTAATGCAGTTTTGTGTTTCTGTGTCAGTCTGTCATTCCTAAACATTTTTTTTTTGACTTGATGGACAAATATAGTCCAGTCTGATGGAAGAGAAGAGATTCAAAGAGAATAAGTAACTTCAGATTGCTTGAAAATAGGTGGCTGGGGCAAAGGAGGCCAATCTATCGTATCCCTACTGATAGAAAAGCTGCAGTGCCTGCCTAGCCCTACTAGAAATTGGGGGAATACCGTGGGGAAAACATAATAGGGAAAACATAGGGAAATCAGGGGAATAACACAGGTTTTGCAGAACAAGGACAGTTGTCAGGGATATTTTTCCAGAAAGGATTTTATTGATAACAAATAAATGCACCAATAATAAGACAGTGTAAAAGGATAAACAGCACTGCCTGATGTGGGTTATAATCCTCACATCTTAGCTCGGTTTGGAAAAAGAATGCCCTTAATATGAATTGTATGGAGGGAGAACTGCACTGTGCTGTAAGGTGTATCAACGTGTTGTGCCTAATAAAACTCTATTTCAAAAAATGGCCTGTTGGAATTGTATTGGCACCAAGTTTGCTTTCTGAGGAGTGACCAGTGTGATAAATATATCCCCCGGAGATAAGGCCTGCTCACAAAGGGAACAAGGGGCTTTGAAGAAGGGCAAGGATTAAACAGCATCCCGCACTGAGCTGCGGCACAATGGGGGCAGCGCTGATGTACTTATGGAGATGAAGGGAAACCAGAGTGCTGCAACCATCTTCAGGTGTGAAACTTGACACAGTGATGCTTGCAGATTAAAAGAAACCGCAAGTGTGTCGATTTCCTGTGCTATTCCCCGCCGTCCTCTCTTCCCCTCTGAACAGGTAGAGACAGCCCATAGCAATAAGAAGGCTTAGAAATTGTTTTGCTAGAAAAAAATCACCTCTGCCCTATGACTGCCCTTCCCAAGCATCACTGGGAAGACCCTTCCAGGACCTTGCTCTGGCTTTCTGCCTGTTGCAAGCATTTCAGGATGCAACAAGCTGTAAACAAACGAGTTGGGGGTACCAGCAGCAATCTAGCCTGATGACAGAGCTTGGTGTAGACTAGCTCACTCTGCTATTTAGGATGAGTTTTGCAGCACAGGCCAAGCTCAGCACTAGCAGGGAGGAAGTAGCCCCAGCACTGCGCTGCAGACGGTCCCTAGCAGAGCAAGCCCCGAGCTGTTTAACCCTGCAGGTGCCAAGAGCCGGGATTTTTCACAGGGAGCAGACATGCTTCATCTGAAGAGTATTAAGAAATGAGTAACACTTCCTGTTTATTGTCTCCCTGCTGGTGCATGAGCTGGGGGCTGAGCCTGGAGTTGGGGTTAACGGCAGTATAATGGTGGGAAGGGTGGGACAGCAGGAAGACCAAGCAGGAGAGGATGAAAAGGTGTGAGTTAAGCCAGCCCTGTTCCCACACCTAATTTTATCTCACACCTCCTTGTGCTCCTCTCTCAACTATTTCTCTTTTTCCAGGTTTAGCTTTTCCTCCCCGCCGGGGCTGCGTACCTGGCTTAGGACGTGTGGGAGGAGATGCAGACAGGGAGGGTATTTCCACTACGCTTGTATCTCTGCCTGTACTGCCTTGTCCTTGAGAGAGTTTCCTACCGGTAGCCTGGGGGGTATCCAGCCATCTCTATTGATTACTCCAGCCCCAATTTGCATATTTAATAACATGTTCAAATAAGAGCGATTATTGAACTAATTGCTTTAGGTAATGAAAGCTGGAGGGCTGGCCTGGGATGCATCTGACCTGATTTCTGGTTCTGCTCAGGCTTAAAAGCTAATTCATTAAGCAGCTTTTGTTGCAAAGCAGTTTTAAGTAGTTTTCAAGCTGATTAATTACAGAGAGGAGTGTTATATAATAAAGCAACTGTGTGTGAGTCTGAAGGAGGGAGGTGAGTAAAATATTTCACATTTCCTGAGACCTGGGGGCCTTGTTCGCTTCTGTGATGGAGAAGCGTGGTGTCGGGGGAAAGACGTGATGGCAAAGTGCTGCGTGGAGCAGGTGGGAGGGGGTGGATGAACAGAGGTGTATATGGGTCGGTCACTGTACTCCTGAGCAGTCCCAGGAATCCTGGAGGCGGGGAGGATTCGTTCTACGTCCTGTTTGACTCCACAGCCTTGATTTCAGGCGCTGAGTCAAACTCTGAAATCATGTAGCTTTGCAAATCTGAACTAGAAATCTCTTGGGAAGATTTTGCATCAAAATTCATTTTGGTCCCAAATGGGAGGGAAAGAAAGCAAAAAAAAAAAAAAAAAGAGAGAGGCTCACTTTTATGTTAACAAAAAGAGGTGGAAGTGTTTTATATTTAACCACAAATAACCAATTAACATTTTGTGTCTATTTTAGGTTTTATTACAAGTACTGGTCAGCCTTGGTTAAGAGATCTACTCCCCATGAACTTGCATCCCTTTGGAAACCTATTCTGATTTTTTTAATTTGTTGACCAGAATGGAAAGATCAAAAGCACCATCCTAATTCAGGACCAACTGGTATTTAAGACTGTAATGTTGATTTGACCCACAGTTAAGCATATGTAAAGTAATGCCACAGTTTTAACATCATCATAATTTCCACTGGTAAATACGGGCCTGTACTTAGCAGTACCATTTGGTGATGTTTGTTCTTTATAGAGGCAAAATAGAGAAATAAAGTGGGTCAAGAGGTTTGCAGGCAAAAACTAGCTTGCGTCGGTGAGAATGAGCCCGAGAGCATCACTGTAGGGACACCTTGATCCCAGTAATGCTGGC